ACTGTTCAGAGAGCCGTGGTTCATGTAGACGTGAGTGAGAATGGCCCTTATCACTGGGCCAGATATTTCTAAAACGTGTTACAGTTTTCTTGAAAAATGTTTTCATGGTCAAATAAGTTTGGGAAACACTAGCTAAACAATATTAATTAGATTTCTCAGGGCCTTGATCATACTAATGTGATTGGACCTTGGAATGGTCCTTCCTGAGAGCAACTCTGTGGTCTGTCAGAGAACATGGCTAGGGAAATACTGACCTGGACCTCTGATGGAATTACTGTCTCACCTACTGATTTGCTTCAAGTCCATTTAGTCAGATTATTCACAAATAATAACCTAATCAGCACGTGTCTGGAGCGCTCTGTTGTACCAAAAAAGATGACAAGTAAGAGATGCTGATAACAAATGTAAGAACACAGGTGCAGTTTGTCGAGGCCTTGGGTAGTGAGTCTGTTGATCCCTTGGACCTTGTTCTTTAAAAGATTAACAAGAAACAGTACTTCATTGTTTGGGTGGCCGAACCAATGTATTGTCCAGATGGGGCTGCTGTGAGAGTGGAAGTGGGTGTTGCTGTTGATGATCCTGGAACCACACATGTGCAGGAGGGTGTCCCAGCCGGGGAGGGATGGGGACCTGGTCCCAGGTGTACGGGAGGGAGGGTGTCCCAGCCGGAGAGGGATGGGGACCTAGTCCCAGTGTAACCTCATCGCTTGCATAGTTTCATCAGGCATCTTATTTGCTTCAGACCTAACTCTTGCCTCTAGGAGCCCTTTTCCAGTGGTTGACTGATTCTTGGTTGATTCACAGGCTTTGGGATGTGTGAAAGGATCTGAAATCATTAATAGCACTAATGCTTTAAACTTGAAACAGTGACTTTGAAAAATCTAACTGTGGCTTCAACATGTGGTTTTCGAAGTGGATGAAAGTAGGACTGTGCATATTCCTGACAATTAATGAATATAATTTTTAAGCTCTATCCCTCCCAGAGAATTTTTCTCTAAAGAATACCAGGAGTACTAGTTTGTAGTATCAAAATAGAAACGAAATCTGCTGTTGAAAGAAAATTGTAGAACTAAAGCAGAAGAGAGTAATTGTTTCCCGTTATACTTAATGTTTTGTCTTTCTTTCCATCTTTTTGCAGTTTTTTGAGGTTCCATTTGACTCAAACATGAATAGGACAAAGAACAGACCTCTGGTTCGTGGACAGATCAGGTAAGATTGTGAGCGTCAGTCTCCTTCACAATATAGAACATTCATTTGCCGGCCCTCCCTGAATCGTTTCCCAGTACTTTGCCGTGAGTTGTGAGATGAAAAGAACCCTCAAAAGGACATACCGGTGTGGGTGTGCAGCAGCCAGAATGTACCACGCAGCTCTCAGAATGGATCTGAGATCGGCGGTTTTGCCATGGGAGTAACGCGTGCGGTAGATTTCCCTACTAGGTTCCATTTAGAGACGTGGACTTGGTTTGCCTGTAGTGACTAAAGGTAAAAGCACACCATTAACACAAGTGATTCCAGACAGAGCCACACAGGTCTCAGAAGAAGGCTGTGTCCAGGTAAACTGATGGTGCTGTGATTTCACCAGGTGAAATGCAGCCTCCATCACTCTCCTCTCCATTGAGTCCAATCCAGCAGAACTAAAAGGCATATGAATATTTTAATATCACTAATGGTTAATAATTAAACATTTTACTTCCTGGAGACCTGGAAACTGGCATTTTAAAGTATTTTTAAAAATCCAATAGATACTGCAAACCAAGAAGAATAAAACGAGCCAGTGGTTCATGCTGACTCTTCTATATCGGAGAATCCCCTTTCCACACGTCCAGGCAGTACCCTCATGGAGCTGAAAATGTACTGGGCTAACACTTATAGGCCAAATAATCGCACACATTAAGTAAAAAAATAAAGGAAACAAATTCAGATACAGTCAAATGTCTGTGTAAAAGTAATTTTTAAAATTTGCTACTTTTAGCTGTTCAATTCTTTTTAAAAATTAAAAAAAAATTTTTTTATCGAAGTACAGTCAGTTGCACTGTGTCCATCTCTGGTGTACAGCACAAGGTTCCGGTCGTGCATATACACACGTTTGTAGCCATTCGATTCTTCAATGAATTTAAGATAACCGTAATATTAAAAATGGCAGTAGAGCCAGATGAAAAGATGTAAGAAGAGAAATCTCATATCTGGCTGGGATTTTTTGTCCTTTTTGAGATATAACACAGCCGTCTGCTGTGTTTATGTTTAGAAAGTGTCAGAAGCACTTTTATTTGAGTCGAGTTGGTTAAGAGGGGCAAGTGCCAACTCTGACCCATCTTAAGAACTGAAAGCTGCTGTTGCCGCTGGTCGAACCGCACGCAGGTAAGTTCTTACTTGTTTGGGATTTCCGTCCAGGCTTTTTTCCTCAGGAAAACCGTCCTCTCCTTTAGAGCCAGGAGAACACGGGGAGAAGCCCATCAAGCAGCCATGGGCGCGCAGTGGTCCCCAGTAGGGGCCCACCCTTCCCCGCGCAGCTCATGTCTCTTTCCCCAGCGCGGTCATTCCTGCAGAGTCTCTCTGTGTAGCCTGTAGCCAGGAGGGAGCGGATCGTGGCGTTGGTGGCAGGTGCTGGCGTTTCCCTTCTGTTAAAGGGGAAGGGCGACTTACTAGTCTCGCTGGACCTGTGACCCATCTTTGTTTGCAAGATGACCCAGGCAGAATCTCATTTATGACAGTAAGCCTCAACCGCTATTTTAGAGGCCAAATGACAAGCCTGAAAAAAACAGACTCAGGTTTATTTTTGCAGCCAGGATATATTCTATTAAATAGGTACAAGGAGCTGTTATGAGTCTGCAGCAAAATCTTGCATTGAGAATCCTAGTTTTAAAACTGAAGACTTTATATCTTGCCCTTTAGTGTTTATTATAATTCAGTCATTTAGTATCTGCTACATGGGTATTTTATACATGAGTGGCCATAGGCATGTAGTAGAAAGTCTTGTAGACGATCCACTAACTAGTTCTCAGCTTCGGTGGCTCGCCCATTCATAACAGCTGTTGGGTCTTTAATGAAGCATAAAGCGTAGCCAGTTTACTGGGAGATTCTCTTTTGGGACTTACTGTCCCACTTGGTTTGGGCTGATATGCTTTGTTGAATCTATGCAACTTCACAGACCCAGGCTCCAATGTGGCACGTGAAGCATCCTCCCTGTCCTTGTTGATGGGCGGCAGTGCCGTGAGTCTGGGGAGGAAGCCTGGAAGGTCTTCTGTGCTGACAGCTGCCCCAGCCTTTGCACGGACCTTGGCCTTACCCATTCTACAGACATACGTAGACGCTTATTTTCATTAACTTCTTCAAGTGGTAAGTCCACTGAAGTCTGAGAGCCACTGAGCTAAATTAAAAGAGGGAAAAAAGAGAAGCCTGTATTCAGAGGGCTGACCTGGACAGGCCGAGGGAGCTGCCGCTGCGACGTCTCGAGAAGAGGGAGGCGCGAGCAGAGCCGCCGGGGCTTGGCTGGGTCCGGCCCCGCGCTGCCGGCCTCTCTCCTGAGCTGCCGTCTGTCTCTTGCTTCAGCTGTTGGGGCAAGTGCCATTGACCGCGTAGTAACCAACGAGGGATGCTAGTTTAACTGGCTGTTTTTGAAATCGTCAATTACAGTAACAAAATACCCTTTATATTTTAGGCCACAGATATTTTCTCTTTTTTTTTTTTTTGAGAATCAAAGGAGAAAATCTTCACAGCGAAAGTGTCATTGAATGAGGAAAAAAATCTATGAAATTGCTTTATTATTTGCTTCATTTTCCCGCGGAGAGCACAGAGGGCAGCACTTTTAATTATCATTTGATTACCCACATGAAAGGCCGGCTCTGTGCACCTAAAGTCTTTGTAGTTTTAAAAAATGTCCACCATTTGGGAAAATACTACTTTTTACGTCCTTCTCTCTCGTGGAAAGGAAAGGCCTTTCTATGTTGAGAGGACGTGTCTGAGTCTAGCCTAACTCCTGCGGGGACGGGGGCGCGGTTGGTAGCTCTGGGGGTCTGGCCTACGAGCCCGCGGCCTCACAGTGCCTGCAGGTGGTTCATGGAAACATCCTTTTGTAGCTTCTGTTTACCGAATGGCGTTCCTGTGGAAACACTTGACCCCGTGGCTCTCTGCTTTTTACTTCAGCTCTGGGGCCTTTATGCAGAATTATTTATCGAGTCTTTAATGGCTTGGTGGTCATTGACGGATGTGAGTACGATGTCCCTCCCTTCACTCAGGAAGCGCCCCAGATGCACGCGGATGGGCCGGAGGAGCCGCAGTGCATTTGGCTGAAGAGCTCTCGTGTCTGCATCTGAGGACGTCTGGAGGGACGGGCCCCAGGGGGTCAGGATGGTGCTGGCTTAGCCCCGGGGACCGCTCCTGAGCACAGAGTTTACCTCTGCAGTTAGGCATGTGGGCGCGGGGAGACGGGGCATGGAAAGCACCTATGACCGCTCCCTCCAGGGCTGCTTTCTGACATCTTGAGCTTGCACTTGGCCCTGATTCTACTTGGTAACTTTCTAACTTGGGTCCGCCTCCCCCACCCCCAGGGCACTCACTTTATGTCAGAGCCTTCCTGTGACCTGTAGTCGAAGCTTAAGGAGGAGATTCTGAAGTTGGACCTTCACTGTTTGCCAAGCTGGATGGAGGTGTGGGTCCTCTCACTGTCCCCCGGTTCTGCTGTAGGAGTGTTCCCTAGTTCTGTCAGGCTTGGAGTTTGCTGTTTTCTATTCATTCTCCTCTCTGTTCCTAGAGAGGACAGAGGGATAATACAGCTTTATCTAACTTGAAATCCCTCAGGCTTAAATTTCTGATGTATCTTACACATTTTTTTTAAGTGATAACCCTTTTTCCTGGTCTTTCCTAATTAAAATTAATCTTTCTTAAGAATGTCAAGGCCAAATGTTTTTTCTATGTATTCTAGAATTAAAGAATTCCCTTGTTTAATTCAATTCATTAAGAATTTATTGATTCCCTATAAAGTAACCAACCCTGTCAGTTTTATGTTTATAATGCTCAAAAGGCTTATAATCTAGGTGGAAACATTAGCCAAATGCATGAGAGGCTTAGCAGACGAGACAGGGCTGCCCATAAACATGTACTGAATGAAATGAATGAATTGGTCCAAATGAGAACTTCTCTGGCAGTGGCGAGGGCAGAGAGTGTCAGAAAGAGAAGATTCAGATGAGGACAGACTGGGCGGTGAAGAAGTCGGGAGGCGGGGCCTTCATTGTTATTTGGAAGCACATCTGTATTTTGATTCCGTCCCCTTTGGATTATCCATTTTCCAGCTCGGTGAAGTCGACAGGGAAATAATACACGTCGGCATTTGTTTTCGCAGCCTGCCTGACCCGATGAGAGTGGTGGGCTGCTTGGAAGCCCTGGCCGTGGGCCGTGGGCGGGAGAGGGAGGAGGGCAGAGGGGAAGGTCATTCCGAGCGGATAAATCACAGCGCTCGGGATCGGGGCGGCCCATACCTGGTTCTCAAGTGAATGATGAAGATTGAGTTTTTGGAGTGAAATGAATGGATTGTTTAGTTGGCATTCTTAACTTAAAGAACAGGATTTAGCTTAAGCATTACAGAGCTTCACAGGAGACATTTTTCACATTTGCTGAAGGTTTTACCAGTAAGCACTTAAGCAAATGTAAACATTTTGCGGGCTGCGGGGGAGCCATGAACGCTGCTCGTCAGCCATCAGGCTGGGCTGGTAGCCCCGGCCCCAGGCCCGCGAAGCTCTGCAGAGCCCCTGGGCAGCTACCGCTAGTCTCCTGGCGTGTGTGTGCTGCAGATGGAATAAGAACGTAAACATTCTGTAAGTACAGACATTTCTTCTTTTGGTATTCGCCAGTGATTTGAAGTGGCGGCAAGAACACGTTTGGTCTCAACTTAATCATGTGCTAATGGACAGAGCCTTGTTCTTGAAATGAAATCGTTCGGTCTGATGAACCGTCGTGAAGAGCCAACAGTTTAGTCACCACGGGGGTGAAAGAGAGGGACGGACATTTCCTGAAAGCCGACATCCCTTTCTCTCCTTGTCGTGAGGAAAGTGGACAGCATTTATGATTTTTCTGAAGCATCGTGGGTTGTGAACGTGTGTCGACCGCAGTCCTGGGGAGGGGCGATCCTTCAGTCCCCATGCCCTGTTTCACAACGAGGAAGTTCCCGTGTCTGATAATGAGGAACAGAAGGAGTCAAGTGTCACATCGATGCA